ACACACACACACACACACACACACACACACACACACACAACCAACTGAAGCCGGTTTAGCTTTCACGGCAACACTCTGGGAGTAACACAGCGCTTTAGTCTAAGGAAAACAAAACATTTCCCTAGGTGGGGAAATCATCATATTACAACTGAAAAGTGTAAAGTGCATGAAGGCAAGATTCCCTGAAATTTAAGAATTTAGACACAGATACTTATCTATCCATGTTGTCCCATCTCCTTCACTAGCTCGTTCTTTTTTTGCAAAGGAGAGGACTTAGAGTAGGGTTCATAATTATCGTCATTATCACCAAGCTTATTTCTGTATCCACCAACCTGATTATTTCTAGAAATATAAGGTGGCAGAAGCAATAACATCGAACATTTCTGAGCCTCTACCGTGCTCAAATACAGTGGGTGCTATATGTTCTTTACAGCCATTGTCCCAGCCTTCACTATAACCCTGTGACTTCTCTCTTTGCCTATGGACTTACTGTCTAGGTCGCTATGGACACAGGCTTCAGAAGAGAAGTAAATCAACACAGGTCCCTCACGCAAAGAGCCTGAGAACTGTTTAGGAGCACACCAGTGCCTGGGCATTATAACCATGCTCGGCGAGGTATCTCTGCCAAGGCCATAGAGCAGGGACCAGAGCCTGGGACTGAATGCTGGGCCGCAGCTCATTGTCTTTACCTGTTTGCCGGATGGCAGTGGTTTTCGACCCAGAAGAACACTTCCCCAGGGAACACTTGGCATTGTTTAGGCGACATTTTCGTTGTCACAACTGAGGAGGGGTCCACTGGTAGAGGCCACATATCCTGATAAACATTCCACAGTCACAGAAGCCCCGAAACAGAATTCTCCTACCCAAAGTGCCAACTGCGCTGCTGTTGAGAAATCCTGCTCCTCTGACTTGGATTTGAGGCTTGGAAAGCGCTCCCACTCTGACTGGATCCTTGTGAACTGACGGACTTGCATTGTTCCTCAATTTTTTCATCTGCATAACGGAAATAATCTAATTCTTCTCTCATAGCTGCTGACATTTGCACTTGAGGAGTTACGGTTAAAGCATCCCTGTCAAGGTGGTAGCATATCACTTGTGCTTCTTGGGCTCCAGAGAAGCTTCCAGAAGGGTTGAGTCTGGGTGCTTAGGAGGGAAAACCCTAAGTTCTTTCACAAGCTCAGGTGGCCGAGAACTTTCACTCCAAGACATGGGTATAGGATGGGTCACTCTCTCTTGGGTGGAGGAAGCGGCCAGGCCTCCGCCCTGCGCGGGCTCCTTCCTCCTTCGCCCGCACTTACTGCTGGAGCCGCGGGCTGCAGGCGCCAGGTGAGACAGCTGGAAGCCTGCGGATGGGGCATCCGGGCACCCCTAGCCCTTGCTCGCACGGCGGGGCGGAGGGGGGAGTAGACAGCGCAGTCTCATCCCACGCCCGCTCGCCTCTGTCCCGGGCTGGTGGCACGGGTATCTCGTGCCTGTAGTCTCCTTCGCCCGCACTTACTGCTGGAGCCGCGGGCTGCAGGCGCCAGGTGAGACAGCTGGAAGCCTGCGGATGGGGCATCCGGGCACCCCTAGCCCTTGCTCGCACGGCGGGGCGGAGGGGGGAGTAGACAGCGCAGTCTCATCCCACGCCCGCTCGCCTCTGTCCCGGGCTGGTGGCACGGGTATCTCGTGCCTGTAGTCATTGCGTCTGAGCTGGGAGCTCACCGGGAGCCCGGACCCACGCCTCCGAAAACCACTCACCCACCCACCCACCTCGCCGCCGCCCGCCAGATTTGCTAAGAGGGCTACGCCCCCCGCAGGCCCTTCCCCACCCTGGGACCCTGGTAGGGGAAGCGTCGGGTGCCCCTTCGACATCCAGCCCTCCTCCTGCCCCTCCTAGCGCTCCCTCCTCTGTCAATGCGGGGAGAGCCGCTGCCAGCACCAAAGGGAGTGCTTTCCAAAACAGTGACGTGACAGGCGCCCTACTCCCCCAACCCAGGTCCCAGTTTCTCCTGTGTCCCACTCCGGCCTCCAGGTTGCCAGGGTTATGCTGGGTCCTGCGGGAAAGCGGCGACCTCGCCCCATCTCGGCTCCCACCCGGAAACGCGACCCTTCCTGGTCCCGCGTGGAACCATTGGGAGGCTGTTTGCTCGCAGAGGCGCGACGGTGGGAAAGCCGGGGCCTTCACTTAGAGCCTTGGAAGGTGCAGAACCAGTTGGCTGGGGGTGCCCTGGCTCCGCTCCCAAACGTGAAGGAGGCGGGGCTTGCCTGCTTTCCGGGCCGCTCCCAGAGGCCCTGCCCAGGAACGGGTGACAAAAAGAGTTTGGGAGTTGGTTTGGTAACAAGTGGATGTATTTGGTGTCTGTGGCTTTTGGCCTCCCTGCACTCACCGCTAACGGACTCCTCACACCAGTCTGGGAAGCACTTGCGTTTCCCAGGCCAAAAGAGACCTGTAAGGGGCTACCGGACTGTTTTCTGCCAGCTGTAGATCAGAGAAGAAATTAGGAGAATTGAGTCAAGATATATGACACCTGCAGGTTTGAAGACAGAATATGGGGTGGAGGGGTTACTCCTCTTGTCCAAAGGACTCTCTAGCTGAGGCAATTAAAATATATTTTAATGTGCATAGCAAATTCTGTGTATTTTAGTATAAAATACCCCCAACTCACTTAATGAGACTGTGAGATATCTATTATGGTAAATAAATGCTAGGCTCTTGCAGTTTATTTTGGCCATGGTGACAGAGTCTGGTAGGCATCTGTATTATAGGTCAGAAGATTAGCTGTAAGGCAGAAATGGAAAAGAGATCTATGTGTTCTGCCAGACAGTTGTTCTGGGAAATGTAAAATAAGAATGATAGTTGAAAACTCAGTGTTAAAAACATGTCTTGAAGGAAGTGAGGGGATGGGATGTAAGAAGAATTAAGATGTGTTATGTGCATTATGTACATAACCATTATGTACAGCAAACATGTATTCATAAAAATTAAAAACAAAAGTATCTAACAAAATGGCTTTTAGTAAAAATAAAAATATGGCCGGGCATGGTGGCACACGCCTGTAATCCGAGCACTCGGGAGGCTGAGGCAGGAGGATGCTGTGAGTTCGAGACCAGCCTGAACTATGTAGTGAATTCCAGGTCAGTCTCAACTACATAGTGAGACCCTGTCTCAAAAAACCCAAAATAAATAAATAAATAAAATAAAAATTATGTGAGATTAGGACACTCCCGGAAATTCCAGGCTGCTTGGTTACAGCATGTGATAAGATCTGTCCCTGAGGCAGGCTGTTAGGGGGAGGATGTAAATAGGGAATGATTTGCGGCACAGTGTAACTGGGAGACAAATGAAGAAAGAAATCAGCAAAGGTCACTGTTGTACAAGAAAGGGAGAGAGAAAATATAGTGGAATTTCAAATATTGTTTCAGCTTTCTTGGTTTCTGTTTATTATTTTCAGCATTTTGTCAGGCTAAGTAAACTCAGAGATAATAAATACCATCCATATTTTGTTATGTCCCTCTACATTGTTTGCCATGTATACATAAATATATGTGTACGTAACAAAATGAAAAATTTGTAATCTTTTTTTAAAAATGTATACACATCTTTTCATGTCACCAAGTACGCATTCATTTAATGATTGTGAATTTATTATTATTTAACCAGTTTCCCATTGATGGACAGTTGGTTTCTTCCCAGTGTTTTGCTAGTCGTTAGTGTTCTCTCCCAGGAATGTGAAACACATCTTTCAGATACTTTTTGATCTTTCTTTTTGATTTTTTTCTTCAGATTCCTATAAAATAAACTGTTGTATTGAAGTGTGCACAATTTGAAATTTTGACAAATATTGCCAAATTGTCCTCCATCTGGATACCTAGCGTCAATAGGATGGGATATTCTGAGCTCTTATTGAAGTAGGTGGATAGGGACCACTAATGATTTAAGAAACTTTTGTTTCTTCCAGTGACAGCAAGAGACTGGGAAACATGAGAGATTGGACTTTGTACTACACCAGAGAACTTGCTGGTAGGAGAATTAACCCCTACAGAGATTAAAGTGAGTTTCAAGATGGCCAAAGAAGAGCCCCCAAGTGTCTCAGAGGACTTACAGAACCTCCGGAGGAAGATGTCTTTGCTGATAAAGTCCTTTCAGAATAACTCAAAGGTTGGTTTTCAATTACTATGTATAAAAAAATTCCAAATTAACTTTCACCTAAACAAGACAGAAAAATACTTAAGCAGAAAAAAGTTGGAGGAAAGTCAGGAATATTTTAGCTCACTACTCTGCCATGCCTAAATTGTGATCTTCCTGTTCCTTTCCTATATCACTACTAGATCATCAGCCCTCACATCCATATTCTAGGCAATAACCATCGCTCGTGTAAGTGACTTCCTGGAAGTCATGCACAACACTTCCAGTTACATCTCATTAGGCCAAAATTTGGTTGAATGACTCTCCTTAGTGGCAAATTGAATTCTTTAGCTGAATTTAGACAGGCTATTCTCACTCTGTGATACAGACACTGTCTTTCTCTGGTTTTGTTGTTAGCGTTGGCTTATCGTTTATCCTGAAAATGAGGGGCCAAAACCTACTTTAAGATTTTAGTCTAGTATTCCAGCAGAAATCCAGTGCCAGTAGAAGTATGACACGAGCCATATATGTAGTACAGTTTTTTCAGTAGTCACATTTAACAAGTAAAAAAGAAATGGGAATTTCAGAATGTATTTTATTTAACATAATATATCCAGAATAATATTATTTCAATGTGTAAGCATTACAAAAAATAGTCATGAGAAAAATTCTTGACATTTTTTTATAATCTTTTTAATAGTGACTCTTTGAAATGCAGTGTATGTTTTATACTTAAAGGACATTAACATTCAAATTAGCCATTTTTCAAGTGTTCAACTGTTTAATGGCAAATTTATCTTTATTGCTTTCTTTATGCTTTTCAGCAGTTTATCAGGGAAAAGAGCTTTCTGAGATAATTCTATTATCATTTTATTATGTGTCTTTCTAGATACAATATGCCCATAGAAATACACATGTACATGGAACAGATGAATAGTCTTGTGATTTTTTTTTTTTTAAGTAGAGCACAGTCCCACTAGGGTCCCCTTGAAGAGATATTTCTTTGAGCTCTAGAACAATACTCTGCAGAGACCTTTTCTGAACTTCCTCTAAAATGTATCTGGCACTCTTTGTGGATTTTCCAAACTATTTTTAAACCAGAAAAACATGTTTCTAGTCAGTTGACTGAGAATCTTGCAGAGGTTCCCCACGTGTACAGTTGACTGTCATAATTTCTGGCAGTTATGTTTATAAATGTCATCACAAACATTGCAAGAAGAAATGCCAAACCATTGCTCTGGGTGAAGTACAGACTTCAATTTCTTTGAGATTCTGGACAAGTTTCTGTTAACTGATCAACATATAACCTTGTTTTATGTGTATTTCTCTTTAAAGACATTTCAGTATACTGTGTATTGTTTATCATTAGTATCAAACTCAGAGCCGAGAGCACTGGAACTCATGTCTTAACAAACGTGCATGTTGTAATATGTCTATTTTCTCCATAAAGCATAAAGCCTTCTTATGAACACTAAAGAGCACTTCAGCACAACATTTTGGGGGCCACCTAAACAATGAAATCCCAATCAAAAGCACAAAAATGAAAAGTATAATACCAAATATAGTGCTATAGTTTAGATCCAGGGTGTCTGACCTTTTGGCTTACCTGGGCTGCATTAAGTGAAGAGGAATTGTTTGGGGCCACATATAAAGTATATAATAGAGTTAATATATATGAGTAACTAAACTTCCTTTATATCTTTAAAATTTTTAGTTATAACTTTAAAAAAGGGCAAGCAGCCTGTAGGGTTCAGGCTGGACACACCTGTGTTAAAGGCTTAGTACCCAGGGTAGTACTATTAGGAGGTTGTGGGACCCTCAGGATGTGAGGCCTAGTGGGAGGAAGTTTGGTCATTGCAGGAGGAGCGTGTTCTTGAAGAGGATTATAGGACTCCAGCCCCCTCCTCACTCTCTCTTGCTTCATCTCGAGACACCAAAGAATTTGCCTGGTTCCTGAGTAGCTCCAGGTAGAGCTACTCTCTACATGACCCCTATGTTGAAACTCTAATGCTGAGATGTGTATTTATAATTAAATCATCTTTGTCTAATCTTGGGCAAGTCAGTTGAGTTCATTGAACTTTCATCTCTTATTTTCTAGAGTAAGCAGTGCCAGGCCCATAGCCATGTTGTATGGACTATCTGAGATGCCTGGGCCTAGCCTGGCATCCCCGGGTTATTCAGAGCAGTACTATACCTGTAGTCTAGGTAGGAAGTTCATTCTGCCTCCAGGGTGGGGATGGAAAATTACAGAGCATGTTACTGCAAAATAAGCTCTCCCTCTTTTCCTCCTCCCTTTGTGTCCTGTCTGTTACCATAAGAATGAAAATTGGATTGTAATATTTTAACATCCTGGACTTAGATAATGCTGTCTCACAGCCTGGTGGGGAGAATTATAAGAGGAAATGCATGGAAAGCACTCAAAACAGTGCCTGGCACCTACCTACCTACTACTACGTATTTAAAGGAGATTCTCTGATAGTGTTAGGCCTGGCTGAACAGGGCCTTTCCCTTCCAGGAGAGACGGGCTGAGCAGGCGATTCTTCCTGGGAAACAGCAGTTGCTGGGCTTTACTGTTTGAATCTTAAAATGATCTTTCTGCATATATGAACAATTTTCTTTTGGGGGGGTTTATTGTTGTTGTTTTAGTTGTAGAGTCCAGACTCAGAATAGCCTATGAAAAAGTAGAGCCTCAAGGACTAGAAGTAGAACAGCCTTGCCTTTTTTCTCTTGGACTCCCCGGGCCAAATTATCCCTAAGTCCTATGGATTTTTCTTTTGTCAGTCAAATTCTAGGCTGTATCACCCTGCCTCCTCCCTGTCTTAACATCAGTGTAGCTTTGGCCGTTAGTGAACCTTGCCTGATTTCCTGCAGATCTGCCTGACTACCTCTTGCCCATGAGTACCAGGTTCATCTTTCTTAAACTGCTCCTTCAGTGATGTCTCAGTCCTGATCAAATGCCCCCAGTTTGCTCCCCTTCTCCAAGATAAAGTTTAAATGAATGTTGTCCAGTGGATATAATATGCACGCCATATACATAATTTTAATTTTTTTGAGAGTCACGTTTAAAAACATAAACAAATGAAATTCGTTTAAATAGTATATTTTATTTAACCCAGGATATCCCAAGCACTATAATTTCAGCCTGTAATTAATATAAAAATTATTAATGAGTTATCCAACATTCTTTTAAATCTCAATTCAGATTCTAAATTTCCACTGGAAATATTTTGCTCTCTTGTCAGTCTTTATGTACAGTTTATAAAACTAAATTTGCATGACCAACCTATCTGAAACCTACAAGTTTTCCAGTGACTAAATTGAATGTCAGGCTTTACATTTAAAGTGAATGAAAAATTCTGGCTTTTGGTTACACTGGTCACACTTGGGGTGTCAATGCCCCCTGTGGCTGCTGTGGGGTAGTGCAGGTGTGAACCCTTCAGCCCTGCAGCTGGGCATCCAGACCTTGTCTGCCCCTCCTGCCACACAGGTGTACCTCACGGGCAAGGCCCCCTCACTGTGTGCACTGCCGGGTCCCTTACCTGGGTGCCATCTGCTCCACCGTCATGCTTCCTCAGGCCCTTTTGAGTTTCAGGATCAGAGAGACAGTTGAATGTGTCAGTTGGCATGGGGGGCATTTGCTAAGGATACATGTGGACTAGACCAGGAAAGCAACAAAGGCCTGAGACAGTGCAGAACCCGAGCCCACCTCGCTTCAACCTCCCTCCTGTCTTTGGCATCCTAGTTTAGGAAGAGCTCCCTGGCTCTGATAATAGGAAGTCTGAGCTAGGAAGCCCTAGCTCATGGGTGAGTCTTGGGATGGTCCCCTCTGGCTAAAGAAGCTGAATAACAAAGTCACTGGCAGCTGTTTTCAAAATGGAGAAACAGGAGGTAGTGTGGCCAGTGGGCACTGTGCCATGCTGTGGCATGCCTAGAAGTGCAATTTGTCATGGAGAGATTTCTCCCTAGGAGGTCCCAAGACGGATGCCTGTGGCTCCTGGAATGGCCTTTCCTATTCAAGCAGGGTCAGCCCTACACTTTCGTTGCCATCTCAAACTATAAAACTCTCATGTTCCCACCTTGCCCCCCATTGAATCACTTGGGTGAACTCCTGTCTCTAGGAAGCACCTGAGTTTGGGGAAGTGGCATCTGTCACCACTGCATTTGAATTATATTTTCCTTTCAGTCACTTGGCCTGCAAAGGCCTCAGGAATGAGACACAAGAAGAACCAGTCTGATGGAGGAATGTTTGGGGATAATGGGCCCTTTCAGGGGAACCGGGTCTGTAGTGTGAGTACTGGGAAGAGGAAAGGGGAGGGCTTCAGAAGAAGAAGGGGAGCCCATCCTTGTGGGGCTACCTGGAGCCATTGCTATTTAAAGCCACTCCCCTTCCACTGAGTCAGACCCCCAAATCCCTATTTATTAAAGCAGTGTATGCTTATAGTCAAGGTTAGAAATAAAAGCATTTTTACAGCCTTAGCATTGAATGCCTAGACTTTGTCACTTGGAAGCTGGTCACCTCCAGATAAGTCATTTAGTCCGCTGCATCTCAAACTCTAATGTTGAAAAAGCAGACTGGATGCAGCAGGTATGGGCTAAGGCCTGATGTTCTGCATCTCTATTAAGCTCCTCTGTGATGCTGAGTAGCTAGAATTTAACCTCTCCACTATGAGAGCCACTCCTCACTCTGAGAGCCTCAGCTGTGAAACAGGAAACAAACTGCACCTACATCTCATCATTGCACGTAGCTGAGGATGCCTTCACAGAGGGCATGTGTGAGGCTGGCATTATAACTGTGTTTCCTCCTCTCACAAGACCTGACTTTAGGCGGGGACTTCAAATTTGCGCCTGACACAGAGCCACCTTACACTGCTGCCGGTATGGACTCGTGTTTGGAATGAGGCCTCACCTATAAGCCTTCCAACTTGATGACCTCTGGTTGTCCTTCCCTCCATTTGGATGGATTCATTCCCTGGGTCAGGCATGGCACTCAGACCTGGTTCTTTGTCCCTTGCCGGCAGGTGGTTGCCTTCACAAAGTCTCCAGTGGGTCAGTACTTGGACAGGCATCCTTTCCTCGCCCTCTCCATGCTGGTGTTCATGGCCTTGTCTGCTGTCCCCGTTGGGCTCTTCGGGCTCGTCGTGGTGCTCAGCTCCTTGGCTGCTCTTGTGGGAGTCCTGTTACTGGAAGGTATCCTGCTCTGTTACTGGACACTGACTTATCGGGAAGACAGCCCGGGCATCTGCCATTCTTGTCAGAGGTTCCCGTTTCCAAAAGCAAGCAGCTTGTCAGAGCAGTTTAAACATGGGCTCTAGAGTCTGCATCAGCAAAGCACCTCCACTGGTATGGTTTTGGATGAGGTTTTTCTTTGCTGAGGCTCGACCTGTTCTATGGGTAACAAAAATGAACAAAGAGACCTAAGTAATATAATGTGGGAGCACTGGGGACTAGAAGCACCTGGAGGGCCGGCTGGTTACACACCCAAGTCAAATGGTACCACGAACTCTGGATTTTTATGGAAATCTTACTTAAAAATTTGAACTGTCATTATGTTGGACGTACGAGCCCAGTGTCTGCCTGTTTTGAACCAGGTTTAGATGATCGCTTCTCCCAATCGTGTTCTCCTAGGACTGGTCATTTCCGTGGGTGGCATTACACTGCTTTGTGTCCTCTGTGGCTTGGTCTTCATATCACTTGCCCTGTCAGGGGCAGTCATCGTGTCCTATGTGGTGGTCTCCAGCCTCATCAACTACTGGTTTTCTTCCAGGTAAATACACATTAATACAAAAATTTAGCCTAGGTCATTTGGGGGGATTTTCTCAGATAACGTACTAGCAGCAGTTGGTGTCTAGAAGGCACATTGTAAAAGGCAGATGTTTCCCATCAAAAACTGTTATTGTATTAATTCCTTTAAAAAGATATTTATTAATTTACAAATATCAGAATAAGGTGTTTGGGGGCAGAGTGTTGGAGAAAGAAGGAGAATAATAGAAGAAATAATCCACCATTCTACCCAGGACGTGCATCCCCCAGAGGGTAAAGGGACCAGGGATCTCCTGTCCCCAAGTCTGTCTTGAGAGTGAGTCTCATGCTTGATCATATGGATTTCATTCCTATCATGTAGCTCCTGAATGCCAGCGACTTCATTCTGGGACTTTTCACTAGTCAGTTTTCCCCATTGCTGGTCACAAGAATTGGAACTCAGAACTTAAGGAAGAGAGGTTTAGTTTAGTTTGTGGTTTGGGGGATTCAGTCCATAGTCAGCTGGCTTCAAGGCAGGAACATCACAGCGGAGGAGCCTGACTGAACAGAGATACTTAGGCCATGACTCCAGACTCCCCCAGGAGCATGTTCTACTCGTCTGCTAGGCATTTCTTAATTCGATGAAGTTGACATAGAAGTATTGGTCACAGCCTTGACTGTGACCTGCTCAAATCAGTGATAAATTCTGGAGGAAACCGGCTGTGTTGAAATCATGGGAGATACTGTGTTTGTCCTCCTAAGGGATTTTTCAGAGATGACTTTCACCCTTGATTTTTGTCCTATGGATCGATTTAAGACTCTTACGTCCCCATGAAGTCCACTCTAGCTCTTGCTCATTCGATAATGGTTGCTGACACCTGTTAGCATTGCTTTGTGCCTGGCTCTCTGCTGAGCACTTTCCAGCCTCCTATCACATCACCTCTACAGCTAGCCCCATTATGTCATCAGGAACATTCATCAAGCCGCAAAGCCAAGAGTGGCCAAGAAGGGACCTGCATCTAGGTCAGTTAATTCTAAAGTCCTCGTGACCAAGATACGAAGTGACTCTTGGCAACTTTGCAGAGCACCAGATGATAGATATTTTCAGCTCTGCTGTCCATGTGGTCCCTGTCACAACTGTTCACATCTGCTGTAGCATGAGCAGACAATAAGCAAATGAACTTGGGAGGCTGTGTTCTAATAAAACTTTATTTATAAAAACAGGGCTATTTGGTTTTGGACCACAGGCCATGGTTTGCCAACCCTTGCTCTAAAAGAGACAATATCTTTGAGGTTTTTTTTTCTTTTACAGATAGCCCTTGAATGTCTTTTCAAAATGTTGTCCTATTGTTATTATATGTTAAAGTGGGTGTAATGTATAAATCGTTCAGAGGTTGTTCTCACAGGATTGCTTAATTGGTAACCCTGGAGTGACTTGATCACTATCAGACTTTGAGGAGATGAAACAGGAAAAACGCTGGTCTGTCTGTCTTTTTCAGGGTGCTGTGTGTAAGCCAAAATCCACCCCCGGCCTGTGAACCCTGCTCTGATAGGTGAGTTCTTTAAAACCACACCATGAGCTGTAGCAAAATCTGAGTGGCTGTTATCAGTGAAGAGACTGATTGACTGAGGAGTTGTACTTCATTTCCCTATAGTCCCCTTCTCTCCCCAGCCCAGGTTGTTCAGGCCCACAGTTCTTACTCATTTTTATTGGAGCAGAGATTCTTGAGCTTTTTGTTCTCAGGATTCATTTCACCCTCTTAAAAAGTATTGAAACATTCAAATTGCTTCTGGTTTTTTTTTTGTGGATTCAGTGTCCAGTAATTACTGTTAGAAATTAGAGCAGAAATGTTAAAACTATTGAACAGTATTGCCCACTGATAGAAAAAAAAAATTAGGCCAGGTCATGGAGCACACCTATAATCCCATCAACTCAAGAGGCTGAGGCAGGAGGATCACTGAAAGTTCCAGGCCAGCTTGGGCTTCATAGTGATACCCAGATTCAAAAAAAAAGGAATAAGTAGGGAGTGGCGGTACATGCCTATAATCCCAGCACAAGGGAGGCTGAGGCAGGAAGATCACTCTGAGTTGGAAGGCAGCATGGACTACTATTGTAGTCAAGGTTTTGGCAAGGGAATACATTTAGTACAGGACACATAATTTATAGGATTATTTTATGATATTTTCCCAGAGAGTCAAATACAGAAGAATGCAAGACATTAGCCACACACTAGAAGCCCCAAAAATACAGCCAAGGGCCTGGATCCCAGCAGTGTCTCACACAAGTCCAGCTGAAGGCTCAGAGCCCATTGGCAGTGCCCTCCATGAGTCCAGCCAGTGGCCCAGAGCCCATGCCAATGTCTCATGCTTGTCTGTATTGAGGATCTGCACCTGGAGGGCCCCAAGGCCAGTAGTGGGAGCCAGAAAACCTGCACTGGTGGGATGAAGGATTTGTACCACCAGGCTGAGGGATCCACACTGGAGCCAGGAAGTGATGCTCATGGTGAAGATCAGAGCTCCCCTGACGAGAACAGCAGCCATTTCCAGTGACAGCGAAACCCTGAGCTCCTGCTCCAACAAGAACAGACAAGTTCTCATCAGGGACCACGATCTTCCCCCCCAGTTCTGTTTTTATGGCCATTGGTAACAATCCTCAGGTGGATCCTCCACGCCCAGTCCACACTGATTCAGTTCAGCCGGGCGTTACAAGTTGCCCGTTAGTTAATCCACCACGACTACATGGTGAGAACCTGTGTCAAAAAGATCAGACGAATGAGAAAACCCAAAATGAAGAAGAAAGGCTTCTTAAATGTTTGTTACCAGGTAGGAATTTAGGTGGCAAGTAATGAAAAAACCCTAAATAGATACTAACCTAATAGGGTTTTCTTTTTATTGCATAGTAAAAAAGTGCCTAGGATTGATACAGCCACTCTGGTATCACCCAGACACCAGAAACCTACCTTTCTGTGCTGCCATACTTAGTGCATTGGTTTACTACCTCATGGCCACAAGATGGCACCGTTTGCACCAGGTGCATTTACGACAGGAAGAAGGGACAGGAAAAACATGTGTTTCACCAATCGAGCCTGACCCTTTTTATCAAGTAAGCAAAATCTTTTCCACGACTTCACCCATTCTCTTCATTCACCAGAACTCTGTCAGGTGCACCTCTAACCCTAGAGTATTCAGCTTCTTCTCTTCTGAAGCATAAACTCAGAAGTGCAAGGAGGCAGGAGTGGGTGTTGAGCTCTGGTGTGTGACACACACAGTCAGCGATGGCAAGGCTATTGGAAACTCAGAGGTTACTTATAGGTCCCATTAATACTGACCGAGGTACCACCCTTCCCACTGCCCTCTAAAACATGCAGTTCCTGGCACTGAAAAATACAGTCTGTGTAATGATCACTCTGTGTTTTTTTGCCCTATACCTTTCGAACTTCCATTGAAGGTGTCAGAAAACTAACTGGAATCAAAAGATGGGGTCTCTGTTGTTTTGGGGGGTGGTGTTTTGTTTTGTTTTGTTTTGGCTGCTTAACTTCCCCGGTGTCAGGTCTCTTCCACTGGTAAAACAGCTGTTGCTTGCCCTTCCTTGTCTGCTGTATTGTTCCAAAGACATGGACATTTGGGGAAAACACAGTGTTCAAATGAGGAGAGAGGAAGGGGGCCATCACCCTGCCCATCATCCGGTCATTTTGACCTCCTATGCCCTCAGCTTCCTCCTCTGTAAAATGGACGTAGCCCTAATCTGGTATGGTTGCAAGAAGCAACCAAAAATAAAGCAGCGAGGAATGTGACCTGCTTAGCTATGGACACACTCAGCATTGACCCTGAACTAACCATTTCATCTTGTCCTCAAACAGACCACCGGCAAAGCAAAACCCCACTGTCGACTGTCAGCTGGCTATGAAGTCTGCAGTCGTCAAAGGGCTCCACCAGGAATGACTGGCTGGATGAGACCAGAGATGTTTTCAGGCTTCTCAGGAAAGCTCCTGGGTCATGCTCACCCCTTGGAACTATGACTGAGACAGGGCCTGGATAGTCCAGCGCTCCTGGGCTGTGTCCTGCAGCTTCTTTGCACTGTAAAATCCTTCAGTGGCCAGCGTGGCCCTCCCCCGCCACTCCTAAGCGTGCAGACTTGACTGCCATGGCAGACTTGTGTCCAAGGTCCCACGGCAACAGTGGTTTGCTTTTGAGGATTTTTAAAATTTTTTTGGAAGTAAGGGAAGCTATTTTTCCCACTCATTTGAAATAAGGGGTGAAAAAAAATCCAAACCAGAACCAGCTCTTCTGCCTTATTCACTATTTATCAGAAAGGACAGCACAATTTGGGAAAAATGGCCTCTCAAAGTTGGATGAGTCCTAATTTAATTTTTGAGTCCAAAAGCTTTTTTTGAAAGCCTTTTTGAAGCATAGTTTCCACTATTACTGTTGAGTGCTATTCAGTGCTGTTGATCTCTTATGTATTTACACTTGATAACTTTTGTACTGATTTAAAGAACTTGTCTTAAGCAGTTGCTTTTAAAAAAAATGTAAAGGACTATAAAACCAGTAAAACATCCTATATGATTTCTACTTCATTGATTTACTCACTGTATCTTACAAAATATTTAGGTAGGTTTCTTCTTCTATACTCTTTGTCCTCCCCAATCCCAACTTCAGATCTTCTGTGTCGAGTTTCCATCACTGTGGCTGTCTTAGCCACTGTGTCACTGATGGACAAAATACCCGACGTTCTCAGCTTTTTGGCTCCCATTTTAGAAGTTTCAGCCCTTGCATGGTGGCAGGGTGTGGGCACGGGGAAGCTGCTTGTGTCATGGCATACAGGAGGCAGAAAAAGTCAAGGGAGGGACTGGAAAAGGCGACAGAGCCCTCTAGGTCAGGCCCGCAGTGAGCCTCCTCTTCTCTCAGACCCCATCTAATGCCAAGGCTGCTGTGATGTCACCATAACCCAGTCACCTCGAAAAAGCCTGGGGTCCAGTGAGACTCTGGGGTCTACCTAGATCTAAACCGTAACAGTGACAAAGTACCTGAGATAAATCAGCCTCATAAGAGAAAGTTCAGTTTGGCTCGTGGGTTCAGAGGTTTTAGTCCATGGTCACAGCCATGTTGACCTGGGCCTCCGGGGGCCCAGCACATCATGGAAGGAGCGTGTGGTACAGGCTGCCTGTTCACCTCGTGGCAACCTGGAAGCAAAAAGAGAGAAAGGGGGCAGGGTCCCAACATCGCCCTTAAGGGCACAACCTCAGTGACCTAACTTACTCCCAACTCTTAAGGTTCACCACCTCCAAGAGGACTCCAGACTGGGGACCACACCTTTAGCACAGGGCCCCCGGGGAACCAGAGAAATCACAGCACGTGACTCCCTTCTCTGTGGATTTCATGGCAGATCCTGGGTAATCTTTTTTTTAATTGCTAGTATCAGACACCAAAGTTGCTTTTTAAAAAGGTGGGGGTGATGGGAGGAGGGATTAGTTTCAAAAAGCCACAAGGGAGATCTTCAGGCCTTCATGGACCCAGTGCTCAGGTGGTCTCCCCTGCTTTTCTCAGTGTGAACTGCTTTTTTCAGGCAGGCCCATGCCAGATGGGGGTCCCAGCAGCCTGAGCTAGCACTCTGAACTTGGAAAGAAACTGGCTCCTTGCCCATAGTACATGTAAATATAATAGGTTTGGCTCTGATTGGCCAGACTATGGTCATACGAGCAACCCCAAGCCAGTCACTGTGGCCAGGAGGGTGGACAGTGCTGGTGGGGCAGGACTAGGCCGTGTGTCCATTCCAGAGCCAGGGGAAGGGATAGGTCAGCTTCACTGAGATGCAGAGATGAGGCTCCCAAAGGAATATCAGAAGAAAAGGAAACAGTGAAAGTGCTTGTTCTGCAAGTGTTCCACAAAGATGGGCACACATTTCTAATAAATTTTAACTTGGTAGATGAATGATGTCTTGCAATATGAGTAGTACATAAAGCCAAATGTCACATGATCACAACTGAGCCAATGGTCCTCGTTACCCCTCTTTCTTCCCCTCCCTCCCTCTCTCTGTGGAATTGTGGGGCGTCATCTCCTAGCAGCAAGAGATTATGGAGGAAGAGAAAAAGGCAGAGGAATCCCCCACTTCCAGTGAGATCAGGGAGATGCGTAAAATGTGGGAAACGGCCAATTTTTCTAGAAAAACACCATCCAAATAGGGCTGTGGCAGTGTAAGCCATGAATGTGTTTAACAACAATGCAATATCGTATTTCCATGAAACACTCAAAAGGAGTCAAAAGTTCCTCGTTAGAGCTCCGTGAAAAGAAAGCATTCCGGAGCCACCCAAGAGATAGCAGTGATTCTAATAGTGATGGCGAAGGTTGTCCTATACGATAACCCTCATCTCTGTGTCCCTCACACCATCCGTGAAAGTTTTCAGCGGTAACTGCAGGCTAGTTTTTTTCTTTATATTTTCTTTATGATTTTGTAGGACAATATTCTATGAATATTTTGGGCTTGTGGAATGAATCATCTGAGTTTCCACTATTTCTTATGGGGAAATGTGCTTTTATATACAAGTGAGTTGGATTACAAGCATGTTTCTGGGATGAATTATGCTCACAAACCAAGGTCTTCCTGTAATTGCTAGGCAGACACAAACAAATCATGCCACTACCCATAATGGGGCATAACGGCTTTAATCTGGTACTGAAACTTCTGCATTTTATGGTATTCTGTGAGAGACTGCTTGGGCCTGCATAAGATGGCTGCCCTCAACCTTAGCCTTTGCCTCGGTGGAAAAATCCCACTAGACTACATACGTGACTTTTGGCAGGTTTAGCCCCTGGGCAAACAGGAAATCTTACAGAAAAAATAGCCCTTTGTGCTAACCACAGGGTCACGGGATCTGGAGCAGGAAGCTGGTGGTATTTCCCTGTCCTACTTGCCCCTAGGGATTGTGAAGTTAAAGATTGCATAGGGTTAATTGTTGATGTACACCTTCCCACTTACCCCTCCCCACATTTGGTAAAATACTGATTGCTGTATGCTGCTAAGTGCTTTGTCCCTTTATGGTTAAATGCTTGAATGACTCATGTGATTGGTAGAAGATTTGTTTGAACTGTCCAATAAGCTTGCTGAACCTTCCCCCTGGGATAACAGTATATAATCGTTTTGCTGAGCCAATAAAGCGCCTTTGATCAGAAACCAGACTTGGGCCGTGTACTCTAACTTCTTAAAGATTTCCTTCACAGACATTCAAGATCGGATCGGCCTCTGATGACCCACGAATAAGAGGCGGCTCTCACCTCCTATTCCCC